CCTCTCCAGTCTGAGGGGCAGTCAGGGTTCCCTGCCCTGTGGAAAGTCCAAAGTCCTCCCCGCTCCATCTTGGTCTAGGAAGGTGGACATCCAAACTGGCTAGGCTCCCACAAAGCCAGAACATGAAGTAGGATCAAAACCCAGTGGCATTGTCCTTGGCTTCTCAGCAGCCCTCATTGTCCGCCATATTCAGAGTCCGGTTTTATCCCATGGTTTTTCAGTCGTAGTCCAGCTGGCCTTGGTGAGCTCACAATAGATCAGCCCCACTGTCTCCGTGGGTGGGTGCACCCCTCGTGGTCCTGACTTCTTTGCTCATATTTTCCCTCCTTCTGCTCCTCCTTCACCCAGCCAATTATTATTATTATTTTTTTGAGACAGGGTCTCACTAGCCCTGGCTGACCTTGAACTTGCTATGCAGACCAAGTGGTCTGGAACTTAGAGATCTCTGACTCTGCTTCTTGACTGCTGGGGTTAAATGTATTTGCAACCATATCCTGATCCCAGCCAATTTTTAAAAAGGTTTATTTTTATTTGTATGTGTATGCCCATCGAGGCCAAGAGAGGGCATCAGACCCCTGGAGCTGGCATTCTAAGTGGCTATGAATAGCCCAGTGTGGGTACTGGGAACCTAACCTGAGTCTCCTGCAGGAGCAACCAGTGTACTTAACTGCTGAGCCACTCTTCAGACAAACATGGCACTCCTTACCCCAGGTAGTCCAGTCTAAAGATGACCTTTAACTCCTGATCCTCCTGCCTCCACCTCCCAAGTGTTAGTATTACAGGTTTGTACCACCATGTTCAACTGGGGTAAACCTTTTCTATTATACTCAAAATGAAGTAATATTCAATACTGGTCATCAGTATGTTTTGTTCGATGGGTCAATGTGACAGCTGTAGCTGACTGGACTGCCAGCAAGCTCAAGGTGTAGCGAGCATCCATTCATTCTTTGGCCAGGTCATGAAGGCCAAGTTCCCACACTAGCATGGAGGACACTGACGGGCCATCTGACTTCCTTTAGTACTGAAGACGGGCAGGTGCAGTGCTGCACACCTGTAGGGCCAGGACTCTGGGGAGAGGCAGGAGAACTGCATAAGCTCAAGGCTAGCCTCAGCTACAAGTGGCAAGGGCTTGTTTTTGCTTTTAAAGACTTAATTTATGTGCATGTGTGTGCATTCACGCCTGAGCATATTATATGCACCATGTGAAACAGTGATGGAGGAGAGCAGAAGATACTGAATTCCCTGGAACTGAATTTACAGCCAGTTGTGAGCTTTTCAACATGGATGCTGGGAACCAAACCTGGGTCCTTGCAAGAGCAGCAAGTGCTCTTAACTGTTCAGCATCTCTCTAGTTTCCTTGTTTGCTTTTCAAATAGGTCTCATATAGCCTAGGCTAGCCTCAAACTTTCTATGTAGCCCCGGATGACTTGAACTTGGGTCCTCCAGCCTTCAGTTCTCTAGTACTGGGATGCACCATACATATGGCTTAGGCAGTGCTAGGAATGGAGCCCAGGGTTTCCTGGTTAGGGTTTGCCCAGCTTCTATGCTAGTCAAGGATTGACCAACTGAACTTTATCTCTAGACCTGAGACCTTGTTTTAGTTAAAACAGGTAGACAGGGACTGAGAGCTTAGTGGCAGAACTGTACTTAGCAAGGAGGGAGGGAGAAGGAGAGACGGGAGAAAGTAAAAGAGACAGAGGGAAGTCAGGAAAAGAGGGAGAAAAAGAGAAAGGGAAAAGGAGACACACACACACACACACACACACACACACACACACACACAAAGAAACTGGGAACTAGGGATAGAAATGGCTCCTGGAGGGCTGGAGAGATGGCTTGGCAGTTAAGAACACTGGGTACTCTTCTAGAGGTCTTGAATTCAATTCCCAGCAATCACACAACCATCTATAGTGGGATCTGATGCCCTCTTCTGAGTGGTAGAGCACTCATAGCTGAAAGATAAATAAATAATCTTTAAAAAAGAAAGAAAAAAAAGAGAGAAATGACTCCTGGGTTGGATGGAGCAGCCGCCACAGGTAGACAGTAGCTTCCTGTGATCCTTCTGCCTGTGTAGTGGTTGTAGCAGACACTGGACAGGAAAACAAACTAATACCAGGCTCTAATTCTGACTAGGCCATGTAGAAGAATCCAGGGGAAATATTCAAAACCAAACTCCTGTAGCACACAATGCTACAGGAATTTTGGCATTCCACACCATCTATGAAAACATCAAGTGTGTTGAATGACTAAAGCTTCTGTCAAAATCCAGCTGCCTCCGCCTCCCTGGAATTAAAGGTGTGGCCACCGTGCTTGGCTGCCACCTCATTGTGTGGGTGGGATCACTCTGTAGCCCAGCTGCCCTGAAACTCTTATCTTCGAATCTACAACCCAAATTATGGAATTACATGTGACCTGGCTTTTGAATCAACCTACTTATTTGTGTGTGGAGGTCAAAGGACAGTTCTATGGAACTGGTGTTCTCTCTCCAACATGAAACTCCTGCGGATCAGGCATCAGGTCTTTACCTAGTGATTCATTTGTCCAATTTCTTAGTTTTACCCTTTTCTTTCTTTCTTTCTTTCTTTTCTTTTTCAAGACACCGCGTAACACTGGCTGTCCTAGAACTCACTCTGCACACCAGGCTGTCCTAGAACTCAGAGATCCACTCTGCCTCCCAAGTGCTGATGTGTCACCAGTATCCGGTGATGAAGGCGTAAGTCACGAACAATGCCTCATTTTTATTTGTGTGTGCAACATGTATACACACATGTATACAGGTGCCTACAGAGGCCAGAAAAGGGTTTCGTTCCCCTAAAGCTGGAGTTGCAAGTGTTTGTATACTACCCAGTGCACTGAGACCCAATAATGGATCCTTTGCAACAGCAAGCACTCCTTGCTAAGCCATCCTTCTCTCTAGCCCTCAAACCTTTAACTGTATCCTCCTGTCTCTAATACCCAACTTGCTGTGATTACAGGCATGTAGGACTACATGTAATTCAGTATCCTTCATCTCAATTATGCAATTGTGTTTGTCTATATACATATCTATATGCATGTGGGGGTCCAAGGACAACTTATATAAGAGTATTTTCTCCTTTCACAATGTGGCTCTCCATGACAAAGTCAGGCTGTCAAGTGTAGAAGCAAGAGCTTTTTCCTGCTGGACCACCTTATTCGGCCCAGGACATCACTTCTTAAATGGCCCTGCTGGGCCAGGACCTACAATGTCCAGTCACAAGATTGCACACTGTTCCTTCATATCTGTTGAGGCTGTGATCTCAGGTATAATCACATGTCCTGGGTGAAATTATCACCTGATACTGTCTTCCAGCAGATACACTAAATTCCACAGCACAGGTTTTGAGTGCATGCACGTGTGTGTGCATGTGCGCATGTGTGCATGCATACGAAGACTCTGAATGTCTTCTATCATTCTCCCCCAGACTTCTTTGAGGTAGGGTCTCTTGATGAACCTGGAAGTTTAGCTAAAATGTTTTTAGCTAGTCTGACAGCCAGTAAGCCCCAGCAATCCCGTCTCTGCCTCCATTCAGTGCTGGGGTTACATGTGTGTGCAAAACCATGTTCAACTTACCCTGTGGGTACTGGGATCTGAACTCTAGTTCTCATGCCTGCACAGCAAGTCTTTTTACCTGCCCAGTCATCTCTGTTCCCCCTCATTTACTTTTTTAAAATGATTTGCCTGTCTACTCATTAATTTATTGTAGTTCTGGAAATCAAGTCATGGGTCTTGGGCATCCCAAGCAAATGTTCTAACTTTTCCTGAGACAAAGTTTCTCTGGGTAGCCCTGGATGCCCTGGAACTTACTTTGTAGACCAGGTTGGCCTTGAACTTACAGAGATACACCTGTCTCTCTGCTTCTGCCTCCTGAGTGTTGGGATTAGAGTGTGCTACCACTGCCCAGCAACAAATGTTCTAACTTCAAGCTACACCTCACGACCACAGTGTAGTTTAAAGGAAAGAAAATATTTAGGAAGAAAAAGAAAGGTCCAGGCACCAATTCGCTAACTTTGTTCTCTGAAGCAAGTACAACTATAACAAAGCTGTTGTGAACTTTAAGGAGGACACATATGTGTGTACTGCACACCTGGTAACTGCTGTGACTACTGGCTGCTTGGCCATCAGCAGCCCAGTGAAGTGACATGTTGGGGTGGGAATGCAGCTCATTTGGTAGAGTGCTTGCAGACATAAAGCACAGGTCTGACTCTTAACTTCACATAATCCAGGGTGACAGCACACAACTGTATCCTGGCACGTGGATGGTAATGGCATACACCTGTATCCCAGCACCCAGGTGGTAGTGGCACACACCTGTACCCCAGCACCTGGGTGGTAGTGGCACACACCTGTATCCCAGCACCTGGGTGGTAGTGGCACACACCTGTATCCCAGCACCTGGGTGGTAGTTGCACATAACCTGTATCGAGGCATGTGGGTGGCAGTTGCAGAAGGATCAGAAGTTCTAAACCATCTTTGGCAACATGGTGAGTCTAGGCCTGGCTACTCCTTCTGACCCTCCTGCTACCACCATACTGTAACAGGATTGGGTATGAGTTTTCATTTATGGCTCTTAGGAGGAAAGGACCCATGCTGCTTTGGGAAAATGCACAGTGATTTTGGACCAGCACTAAGAAGGACACAGTGATGGGTGTAGTGGCAAAACCTTTAGTACCAGAACTTAAAGGCAGAAAAAGGTGGATCTCTGTCAGTTGGAAAAGATGGCTCAAACGTTAAGAATACTGGCTGCTCTTCCAGAGGACCTGGAATTGATGCCAAGCACTCACAACTATCTGTAACTCAGTTCCACTTCTCTGCTCAATAGGATCCTGCATGCAATGTGAAGCACATGAAGGCACACGAGCAGGTGTGTGCACACACAAGTAAGGAGAAATAAAAATTTTTAAAAAGGTCTTGGTATTTAAAGAACAACTTTGAACTGGAGAGATGGCCTGGTGGATAAGAGTCCTTTCTTGTAGAGGACCTTGGTTCCATTTCCAGTGTCCACATGGCAGCTCACAACTACCCACTAACTCCAGTTCCAGGGGATCTGATGCCTTTGGCATCCTTGGGTACCTGCATGTATATACATACAAATAAAAAATAAATAAATAAATAACAGTTTCCACAAGAACTGCTAGAGGGCAAGGAGAAAGATCAAGGTCTTGTCCCTGATGCAATCCCGGCTTTGCAGAGACAAGGAGTGTCTGCTGATGGCTATTTTGGACTCTGGGAAGAGACCATAAGGCCCCACAAGTGGGGACAGGCCCTGCACTCACGTGGTATCATCCCACCGCTGCAGACACTGGCTGTGGAAGCTGTGGTTGCATAGGGTGGTGAGGATGCCATTCACAGACTCATCCATTCGCTCCAGACAGACAGTGCACTTGGGGAGCTCCGTCAGGTCCATCACAGGGAGGCTGGCGCCCTACAGGAAACATCTGGTTAAGGCCCACCCCTCATCCCATCCCTCATCCTATGTCATCTTCTTTAAAGAAGAGACTTCCTATTGGTTTTACTGTTCATTTTGAAGACAGAGTCCCACTCTAGACCAGGCTTACCCAGAACTCTTTTTATTTTAAATATTTATTTATTATGTATACAATATTCTGTCTGTGTGTATGCCTGAAGGCCAGAAGAGGGCACCAAGCCGCATTACAGATGGTTGCGAGCCACCATGTGGTTGCTGGGAATTGAACTCAGGACCTCTGGAAGAGCAAGCAATGCTCTTAACCACTGAGCCATCTCTCCAGCCCTAGAACTCTTTTTTTAGAAAAAGACATATGGTTGGGCATGATGGCACACACCTTAAATCACAGTACTTAGGAGGCAGAGGCAGGTGAATTTCTTTGAGTTCAAGGCTAGCACGGTCTACACAAAGAGTTTCAGGACAGGCAGGAATATATATTTTTTGTTTATATATATATATATAATATATATATTATATATATACACACAAACAAAAAAAAGCCCAAAAAATCTCAAACCCAAAATATTAGGAAGGAGATCAGGGTTAATATTTTGAACGAAAATGCTTCTTTCTGCTCCAACAGTGTCCCACTATTCTGGGATAATCTCAACAATGCAGATTCTTCTACTAAACTTTGAGATGGGGACAAGGTTTTGTTACATATCCTAGGCTGGCTTCCAATTCACCAGTCCCTTACCTCTGTTTCCTGAGTGCTGAGACAACATGCATGTGCCATCACACCTATTTCCTACATTTTAAAAATGAGCTATAACTCTCCATTTTGTTTTTTGGAGCAGGGCCTTGCAATATAGCACGTTAGCTTTGAACTGCCATACTACCTGTGAACTCATGCGCCCCTGCCCCCACCTCAGTCTGAGTGCTAGGATTCTCCATTTTAAACCCCGCAGCTTTAGAAACGCCACAGCAAATGTGTTAGCGTGTACCAAGCACTACCATCTAATTTGTCAACATTCTCTCGGCCCAAAAGACCCACCACAGCTGTCATCTGGTCCCTCCATATTCTGCTTTTCTCCCCAACCCGTCTCTCCTCTCAATCTCCACAGAAAGGCCTTTCTGGATGCTTCTTCAAACATCTTAATATTCAATCTTATACCAACTGGCAACATTTCTCCTCAGACCCAAGAAGTCTTCATACTTACATCCTCAGATTTCAGCACTTCAGCCCTTTCCACATAGACCAGCTGACAAACGTCATCTTCAATGGAGTTGAACTGGCGGCCATTGCATGCCATGTAGAAGCTATCTGCGTCAGCCTGTGCACACCGACGGGGAGAGGCAAAAATAAAAGCTGGTTACAGCTGGGTGGTAGTGATCCTACACTTGGGGTAGGCAGAGGCAGGTGGATCTCTGTGAGATCAAGGCCAGCCTGGTCTACAAGAGTGAGTTCCTGAACAGGCTCCAAGCTACAGAAAAACCCTGTCTCGAAAAACAATAAGCAAATCTCTCTCCACTCACACATGCTCCTACGTTTACAGTCAGAAAAGAAGGCAAAGCTACAAGAGGCATGTGCTGGAGCCACTGAGTCTACAGAGCTCTGCATCTCTGCCTGTGCATTGCTAATATTAAACCGGCCAAAGACAACACATTTCTGGGCACTTCTTTCCCTATGAGCCAACATTTTTGTGGCAGCTGAGAAAAGAGACTTCTTAAAATTGGAACTAAATTATAACTGATGACAGTCACAGAAGAATTCTTAAAAAAAAAAAAAAAGACAAAACAGCACTGCCTGCTCTTCCAAAGGTCCTGAGTTCAATTCCCAGCAACCACATGGTGGGTCACACCATTTGAATTGAGATCTGGTGCCCTCTTCTGGCCTGCAGGCAGAGCACTGAGAATACTGTATACATAATAAATAAATAAATCTTTAAAAAAAAAAGAAAAACAAACAGCCAGGTGGTGGCAGCACACACCTTTGATCCCAGCACGTGAGGCAGGGGCAGGTGGCTCTCTGTGAGTTCAAGGCCAGCCTGGTCTACAGAGTGAGTTACTGGCAGGCTAGGGCTATATAGAGAAACCCTGTCTCGAAAAACTAAAAAGAGGTAAAAGACTAACCAGCCTTTAACACTGAGCTGTGTTCTCTTGTGATGGAGTAAGGTAAAGGCAAACCAAACCCAACTCAGGTGTGGTAGTAAGCAACAAGACAACTTCACTGATTTTTGGTTTTCTTTTGTTTGTTTTTTCAAGACCGGCTTTTTCTCTTTGCTCCAGCCCCACATTTTGGATTTTTGGTTATTTATCCTTTCTTCATATAAGTCAGTGAGCTGAGCCCTGAAAAAGGATGGTCAATTATGATGTTGTTTTTCTGCATTTCAAGTTCAGTTGTGTAATGGGACAACTCTCTTTCACACTAAGAGACCTCACCTGGAGACTTTTCCTGAAAACACTTGGATGAGGAGGTGGATCTCATAGGCTGAGGTACTTCCTAAAGGAGCAGTCAGGCTAGGAGGAGGCTTAGCTCAACTTCTTTTTTTTTTAAATATTTATTTATTTATTATGTATACAATATTCTGTCTGCGTGTATGTCTGCAGGCCAGAAGAGGGCACCAGACATCATTACACATGGTTGTGAGCCACCATGTGGTTGCCGGGAATTGAACTCAGGACCTTTGGAAGAGCAGGCAATGCTCTTAACCACTAAGCCATCTCTCTAGCCCTTAGCTCAACTTCTATAGTACAAGGCACTAACTAGCTGTGGATCACGAGCTCTGTAAGTCTCACCAAATGACAGGACTTCTCACAGAAGGGTTGAGCATAAGACTAAAGCCAATGCACACGATTCACATTATTGTATTTTTGAGGACATTATTCATCTATATCAAAGAAATATACTTCGAGGCCAGCAAGATAAATCAGCAGGTGAAAGTGGCCAACATCAAGCCTGACAATATGAGTTCAATCCCTGCAACCCATATGGTAGAGCAACTCCTGCAAGCTATAATCTTACCTGCACATGCATACTGTAGCATGATTTCAAGCACGTGTACATGCTTGCACACACACCAATACAACTAAAACACAGAAGCTAAAGAGATGGCTCTGCAATTAAGAGCACATACTGCTCTGCTGGAGGACCTGGGTTCATTCTCCAGCATTATTTCCAGATGGCCCACAACCAGCTGTAACTCTGCCTCCAGGAAACTCAATACCCTCTTCTGGTCTTTGTGTGTACTGCATACACATGGCAAAAAAAAAAAATTAAACCTAGTCTACAAAGTAAACTCCAGGACACCCAGGGATATTACACAGAGAAAACCTGTCTTGAAAAACCAAAACAGTAATAATAAAAAAATGTACTTTTGGCTTGTTGCTATATGAAAGACATCACTACTGTACCCCTGGTCTGGTCTTAAACTCAAGACCATGTAACCTTACCCTCTTGAGTTTGGAGATGGCAAGTGTGCACTACCACACCAAGAAAAACAGGCTTTGCTGTTATTTTATGGGTATTCAGCCTACGCTGGCATCAAATTCCTGGTCATTTTGCCTCTGCTATGATGAGGTTATGAGCATGTACTACCATGTACCATCATGCCCAGCCAAAATGTACCTCTTTCTGAAATGATACTGTCAACACCTGAAATCTCCAATGTGAACACATTGGCATCCTCTTTACAATGTAGGTACTAAAAAATGCAGGCTGGAGACCCTTTATTAAACTAAACAGAATAAAAAACTCTACACTGTTAAAATGCCGTGTGGGACTAGGTAAAATGCTAGCGCAGGGGAAGCTGAGGAAGTTGGACAGACTCTGAAGGCAGCTGGACAGTGGCGGTACACCCCTTTAACCCCAGCACTCAGGAGGCAAAGGCAGGCAGATCTCTGAGTTTGAGGCCAGCCTAGTCTAACAGAGTGAGTTCCAGTACAGCCAAGGCTATACAAAGAAACCCTGTCTTGAAAAACTTAAAAAAAAAAAAAAAAAAAAAAAAAAAATCTGAGAAGCCCAGCTGTGGTGGTGCATGCTTTTAATCCTGGCACTCTGAGACTAGGAGGCAGGTGGATCTCTGTGAGTTTGAGGTCAGTCTGGTCTACAGAGTGAGTTCCAGGACAGTCAGAGACACACAGAGAAATGAGGTCTCAAAACAAACAAACAAACAAAGGATCTGAGGGCAGCTTTGTGTGGTGGCACACACAACTGGTAGATTTCTGCTAGTTCAAAGGCAGACTGGAGTCCCAGGAGAGTTAAGACAGAGTTTTGAAACCCTGTCTCAAAGAGACAAACAATAGAAAAAAAAAGATTCTGAGGGCAGGAACTAGGGACATGGATCAGGGGTGAAGAGCACTTGCTCTTTAAGACGAGATCAGGCAGGTTCAGGGTGGTATGGCTGTACACCACTTGCTCTTTCAGAGGATCCAAATTTGATTCCCTAGCACCAAGTGGTGGTTCAACCATCCTTACTCCAGTTCCTGGGAGCCGATGCCCTCTTCTGAGCTCCAAGGACATACATGGTGCATGTCATACATGCAGGCACAACATTCATACAAAGAAAATTAAATAAATCTGAATTTTTTTTCCAAGTTTGAGGAAGTTTTCCAAGTTTCATGATACTGGGAGACCTTATCTCAGAACAAGACAAAAGGTTAGAATTATATACAACCAAACACAAGAATTCCAACTTCTACTTTTTAGCTTTTTTTTTTTTAACTATGAAATAAACTCAGGAAAAGGTTAATCCATTATGATCAGGGCTTCCTTGCTAACAGTCATCAGCTGCAGGGCAGAGAGTGTTTTTTTTTTTAATTTATTTTTTTAAATTTATTTATTAATTAAAGATTTCTGCCTCC